GAAGAAAAACTCTTTCCCAGTCCCTGTCCACACTACACACCAGCTGGTTCCTGGAACTAGTTGACTTGCAATTGGTTTTTCTGGYTTGTCTTCTTCTTTGTTTTCTGCATTGATTTCACCTATCAAAAAAACAAAAAAAACAAAATGAAATTCCACAACTTTCAAGATGTTTTCTATGACTGATCAGTTCATGAGTCATGAACACGACTGTTTGTTCATAAAAGGAAACCATTACCCTCTTCAGATGATTTCAAACTGTTTTCCTGGCTGGCTTTGGTATCATTGTTCCCAAGATTTGTAGGGGTAGACTGTCCTTTTGGGCCAAGAAGCCCTGCTGGCATGTTCAATGGWGGCATACCTACATTGAGGAGAGAAAAAGTAAATTCTCTTCAAGCCAGGGGTCATACAGTGTATAACGCCGGCATTTACATCAGTTAGAGCATCGCTACTTCCCTGGATAGATACTAGTCTATAGCAGGTTGCCCACCCTCTTGTATGTAGTAATGCATAAGTAAAGCATATTACTCAAGGACACAACTGGGCCAAGGTCTAGTACCCAAGAGTACATGTAGGTCCTTAACATGTATAGCCTAATGTGGTAAACAGACTATCACACTCCTGACCAGCACACCTAATCAGTTSCTGGCATTGTGTTCCTGGACAAGATGCTTTAGTTTCCTATCATATTAGGATAGTATCAAATGAAACCTTGACTGCTATTTGTAAGATCTTACTGAAGTCTGTGATTCTAATCTTTCGCTGTAAAAAGCATCGCCACTTTCGTGTGAATTTGATTCTGTAATTTAAGTTTGAAGTGCTCCACTCAAAACACTCTAGAGCCTCAAGTAAAGAGTGAAAGCGAGTGGCATTGTTTTCACTCTATACTCAAAACTCGTGGTCCGTATTGAGTTAGAGRACTCGAAAATGGATGGTACTTAACTCAAGTCCGGTACTGTATATTCCATTTTACCTTGTAATGGCGGTGGAGGTTGGTCCATTTCCTTTGGTCTGTCCCATACAGACTGCATGGTTCTTGAGTTATAGTAATAAACTTTACCYTCTGCTGTTCTATGTTCTGACCATTCTCGYGGAGGCATACCAAGGATACTTGGTGGTATACCAGGAATTTGCATTCTAGGAGGCATGCCCTGCAGCAGTCCAGGGGGAGGTATGTTCATGTTAGGGGGAGGCATGTTTGGTGGCCTCAATCCTTGACTGTGAATAAAATTCAGAGCAAATAAATGAAAAAAAGTAGGTGAAAAGGTACATGTGTGATAATACATATTCTGCAAACAACTGAAAGAATCTGGCAAATTAATATACCATACTCCACATCTACTGATAATTTGAGAATACCTGATTATCACTGAAATGTACAGAGGGTAAACAGCACTTATCTCATGATATCCTCACTTTTTCAATGATACAATAACAACTTTAGATTTTCACCTCATCATTCGTAAACTCTGCAAAGCTTGTCCTGCTTGCTGGAGAAGATTGGGTCGTTGCTGTAACTGTGACAGTAAAGGTCTAATATTCTGTGTTAATAAACTTGGTATTTGCTTTTGCTGGAACGGTTGTCCAGGTCTTTGATCCTGATGACCAGGGCGTGGCTGACCATGATGCATTTGGGGTGGTTGCTGCATTGGATTTTGTCGGTTAGTTTGAGGACCAGGTGGCGCTTGTTGTCCAGGTTGAGGAAGCAATTGACCTGGTTGTTGATGTTGCTGTCCAGGTTGCTGCTGTTGTGGGTGTACATTAGGCCCAGGCTGTTGTTGTTGTTGCTGTTGCATTGATTGAAAAGGTGGAGCTGCCTGATGCTGRTGTGGCTGTTGTTGCAAAGAAGAAAACTGTTGGTGTTGACTAGGCTGCTGTTGACCAGGCTGTTGTTGCATTGGTTGCTGTCCTGGCTGTTGCTGTTGATGTCCAGGTTGTTGCATCTGTCCAGACTGTTGTTGTTGTCCAAGTTGTTGGTGCTGTTGTTGTACTGGTGTAAACTGTTGGCCAGGTTGTTGCTGTTGTTGTCCTTGTTGTGGTGGCATCTCATGGTGGCCAGCAGTTTGATGTTGCCCTGATTGTTGTTGTCCTGGCTGTGCAATTATTGCTTGGTGTCCTGGGGGTGCCTGTTGCAACTGTTGTGGAGGGGGTTGGCCATGTTGTGGRGAAATCTGAACAGTTGGTTGGCCTAGCTGAGGTGGTCCTTGCTGCCCTTGTTGCTGCAGAGGTTGACCTAACTGTGGTGGGGGCTGCCCAAGTTGATGTGGTGGTTGACCTAACTGTTGACCTAATTGTTGAGGTGGTTGTCCTACTTGCTGAGGAGGCTGTAGTTGCTGCTGTTGTGGAGGTATCTGTTGTTGCTGTGGGAGTTGTCCTAGTTGTTGTTGCTGTTGAGGTTGGCCTAGCTGTTGTGGAGGCTGCCCTAACTGTTGCGGAGGTTGGCCTAGCTGTTGGGCAGGTTGACCTAACTGTTGGGGAGGCTGAACTAACTGTTGTGGAGGTTGACCTAACTGTTGGGGAGGCTGAACTAACTGTTGTGGAGGTTGGCCCAAGTGTTGAGGACCTTGTTGAGTAGGCTGTTGTCCCATTTGTTGTTGGGGTTGACCTTGCTGAGGAGGTTGACCTTGTTGCGGTGGTATCTGTTGATGTGGTTGAAACTGTTGACCTGGTTGCTGGTCATGTCCAGGAAGTTTTTGCTCTGAAAGAATTGCATGTTGTTGTTGGTCTGTTGGCTGTACATTTTTACTTTCAAGGGTTGCTTGATTTTCAGGTTGGTTTTGCTGTGCCTGGTTTGATGGCGGACTGACCAAGTTTGATGGTTTTTCCCATGAAGATTCCCTGGTTCTTGCATTGTAATAATACAACTTTCCCTCAGGTGTCTTATTTTCCAGCCACATATCTCCATTACTGTCCACCATGGGAGGCTGCTGCTGAACACCTGTCTGACTGGCTAATAGTGAGGGATGAGGTACCTAAACAAAACACATGTGGAAATCTCAATCATGTTTTAATCTTGCTGAATATTCAGGGTTCCCCTTCATCTGAAAAAYTAAAATCATCTGACTTTTTCCTCACCATTTTTCTTTTCAGTGACCAAAATTTGTAACGAAAAAAAACTGCTTTATCTACATTGCTCATTGGCTTTGGAGGTATCAAAGAAAGATATAGTTATTTTTAAGCCTTCAAACTCCCCAACTTCAAGATACATAATTGGCAATTTTCCCCTTACCAAATTCAAACCTCAATCACCTTTCCCTCATCTAGGGAACCCGGTTATTTTTACAACAACGAGGTCTAAATGGCAAAACTGTATTGAAAACAAGAATGCACAGAAAACACACCAACAAAAAACATAAAGAAACGGACAAGAAATCAAGTGAGGAACTATAGATGACAAATCATCTTTTGTCAATGACTTTACATCTGAGTCAGGACTTTACCTGGATTCCTGGCATAGCAGGGTTCCTAATATTTCCCATCATCATTGCTCTTGGATCAAATGGTGCATTGAAGTTACCAGGAGGTTGACCTATCAGGGATGCTGGTCTGGGAGGTGCACCTCGTCCTAGATTGGGTGGAATACCCTGTTGGGTCACTTGTGGAGGGACTCCTGGCCTTTGCATATCTAATACACACAATAGAATGCATTTCAAGTAAATCTACAAAATATTAAAACATTTTTATTATCAGGGCAAGCTATCAAGTGCCAGGAAGAGATAAAATATTGTATACTTTTGAAGGGCAAGTGTTGGATACTCTGGATTGTGTCACAAGAGAAAATCTATAAGGAAAGGGTTAAAAACATAAAAAACATAAACATATGTTCAAATTTCTTTTTACAATCAAACCTTTTTAAGCTTCTAAAGGCAAAACATTAAGTGCCAAACAGTAGTTTCAAAACAATAAGATATCAACTACATATGTAAAAGAATTGCAAATCATTCAAAGATGTAATGTAATTTAGTGTAAGAGAAGTACAGCAAATGTGTCCCTCCCAATCACGCAATGCAAATGAGATCAAAACAAGCACTTCGCACACGTTAGAAACTTGGATTCCGTACAGCAAATATTAAGTTCGACARCTGACCCAGTCTTCAGGTATCCACGCAGCCTGACATTCAGAACTGATGTATTTATTATTATCTATTGCAACTATATCTAGCTARATCACAGTGAGTACAAGTTCTCTAAACTCTTCACACAAAAGCGAACATTGTTCAGATCGCATCAACGCCAGCAAATACTTCAATCCATAAGATTCTTTAAGAGTTTGTCGAGAAATAGACTCCTCGCAGCCGTTTTCCGGTGTCGTCTCCTTAATCCTCCCCCACAAACGGCGTTTGTGGGGGAGGATTAAGGAGACGACACCGGAAAACGGCTGCGAGGAGTCTAGTCGAGAAATAGCTCTAAAACGGTTACGAAATTAGGCAAACGAAACTTGAAATTATACACAAAAAATTCATACTAAAACAAAATATTTGGATTCTTACCTTATTTCGTGTAAAGTAAACACAATTTCGTGGTGTTTTTAGTTATTTTTTAAGCCTTCAAACTCTCCAACTTCAAACAAAATGCATACACATGGCCGCCATATTGGAAGACCATCAGCCTTTGCAAAGARCGTCAGATTCCCGGATGTGAGTATTTTGGGTTCCCTGTTGTAAAGTGGACAGTAAACTCYAACATGACTCAAGACCAGGGTGGTAAGGGCATTTTTTTGTACCAAGATAACAAAATTACTTGTATGTTTTAACAAAATTGATCTMTGATTTTACTTTGAACTTTCTTGATTATTTTCATCAACCCACAATATTTTCAGTTTATTTTATTATATTTATTAAACTAATAACTTAAATTATCTAGTCCAGCTGAATAACTTTTTACTCCTTTAATCAACAGTATATAAAAATATAATACACTCATTTTTAAAACTAAGATTTTCTTAAGCTAATTCATATAACCAGATAATACATTATTGTAATTTACCTCCAGTCTGTTTCAACATTATATTTTCTAATAGCCAGTGATCTTTTCATGCAGATTGCTTCATCTTGTCCAAAGACCAACATATTTTGTATAAAATGACTACTTCATTGGTAACATTAAAGGTAAAATTCCACCCAGTATTATAATATTGTTCGGTACATTCCTAGGAAATTTCAGCATAAAAATAAAGTCAGGAGATGAGCAAAGTCCAGTAAAGTTGATTAATCAAAACACTTAACTTAAAAAAATCCTACTTACACAAATATTTCACTAGTAAAACTCAAATTGTGAGKAGAAATTTACCATTAACAATCTCTCATTTTCTCAAAAAAATAACCAAACCCATGATAAAGGAGAGTTTGGTAAGCTTTTAAACAATCAATGCTTCCCCCCTCGAAACCCCTCCTCCTAGACTACCTTTATTATAATATTATTCAGTTACAAGCACATTTTGGAGGACTGCCGTCAACATCATGTCCGCTGACATTTCCATTTTCACCTATAATAATKCCCTTTTTAGCTTTAAGGTTTTCAGTGATATGAGTGTTCAAAAGRCTTGCTAGCAGAAAAAAAGCATCCTTAACATTTTTAGAGCCTCGTGCACTAGTTTCAATGAACGGCATGTCATGTGACATAGCCCATTCTCTACCAGTTTCTTCAGACACCTCTCGGTCACTGTCTAAGTCTATTTTATTGCCCACAAGCATAGTTAGTACTCCTTCGGCAGCATAAGTCTCAACCTCTATGAGCCATTTGTGRAGATTGTTGTAAGTTTCTCGTTTTGTGATGTCGTAAACAATCATTACACCATGAGCACCYCGATAATATGACGACGTTATTGTCCTGAACCTTTCTTGACCAGCTGTTGATAATTAAAAATAATAAACGTTAATAATCAATTGCTTATTATTTCATTAATTTTAAATTCAATCAATCATTAATTGATTAATTATCAATCAATCCAATCTGTCAATCGACAAATTACTTCTCAATCATTTTTAATTAATCAGTCATTCACCTGTTTTATATCTCAAATTAAAACAGCTCTTTTTTATCAAAACAGCTGTCCTTTTCTTAATCATAAAGTCCACAAAATGCTGTGATCATSCTAACATATAATACATCACCAACCAAAAAATACACAATAATCTAAATATTTTACTTTTGAATCTAAAAAGTGTAGGCTGTGTTAGTCTATATGAAGTGCACATAGCAAATACTTACAAAATTAAAAATTGRACGTCRTTATCYCTTATCGGCAGTAATGAATTGTCAACAACATACTGTCTATGTTTACAAAAAAATTATCATCAACTCCGTTTGGCTTTTTTTTCCTTGATAAAAACTCAAGATAATCTTTAATCCATTGCCTTGAGCTCTTTTTATAATTTCCATATAATGAGACATAGGTAAAAGGATGTCATTTAATAAGATGTGTGATGACAAACTAACAATTGGAATTTCACTCGATAAGTCCAAYCACATTAGACCTTTTGTCAACGACAAAATAATTACTAACAAAAGTTAAAGATTTCATGGTTTTTCTATAGCACAATACGTTTGAAGAGGTTTTGGATATCTTATGAATTATTCAGATTTTTTTATTGCAATGACAATTTCGTGGGTTCTGTTATACGTCACGTAATTTTCTATCGACGCGGGAAGCAATTTCAGTGTCAGTGGAAGCCATTTTAATACCAATAATCAGCAAATAGATTCTTCCAATAAAAGCCGTTTTAATAAAATTATGCTAAGTAAATGCGCTTTTTTTCTGTGCGTATATTTTTCATCAGTTGTCTTTTTGAGTTGTATTATATAATCAATAACTAATCAAAACAAATTCCAATCGCAAAGGAACCACAATATTGTCTTTTTGCTTGTATTCGGAAGTGATTACGAACAAGTATGGAGTACCGAGTCCGATCGTGATCAATTCAGCAAATGACAACCCAAAAKGAGTGCTAAAAAATAACAGAATCAACAAATTAACATTTTACGTAGTTCATATATTGTCTCAMACAATACAACAGTATGGAAAACATCACGACACTTGCCAGACTAGAGCAATATTTTCTAAACGATTGACTCTGCTAAAACAACTTTACCGAAAAGGATAACRGACAACTTACACAGCGAGACATCGTGTTATGTTTCCACTCCAGAAATTCAGTTACAATGGCTTTCAAAAACATTCGGATTATAATTCAACTTAGCAGTGTTTGAAAATCACTCACCGGTATCCCATATCTGTAATTTTATAACTTTRCCATCAAGTCGTATTGTCTTYATTTTGAAATCTACTCCGATGGTACTCAAGTAGCTTTCTCGATGTGAGTCGTCGACGAATCGAAGCAGTAGACATGATTTCCCGACGCCCGAATCCCCTATTAACAGGATTTTGAACAGATAGTCGTACTGTACTTCAAGATTGACCGGCCCTAGTTGATCATCCATTTCTGTACAGCGCGATAGACAAGTGTTTTATGTTCTTGACATCAAATCGTATAGTACCTACTGATCTGTTCTTGGCTGTCACTGAATGCGCGCGTACAATGATTATTTAGCATATTTAAGAATGGAAATTTTAGATAATCTWAATACATTTTATTGATGCATGACATGGGGTCAAGAGGCTAATGCATTTAACCATTTCTTCCATTCGATTCTTTGTTTCACTCACAGTCATAAATGTCAAAATCTTTCATTTTATTTTTTCCTAGTTTTTCATATATTCACTTTGTAGTAATCGCGTTTTGGTTTTCAAATCGATAGGCACCATAATTAAAAAAATCACTAAAAATATCAAATTTGTGGCAGAAGATCTGGACTTGCAAATTTCCGCCAAAAGCCACCGCATAATTGCATTATCTATGCTCCGATTGGGCTAAAAATATCGTCTTTCTTGTAATAAACAAACATTTGCTGACAAAATGAGYGATGAAACCCGCTACATCAGTTTGATGAWMATTGCCCTTGACAACTCAAAAGCGGTAAAATTCTTGTCTTCTCTTGAAATGTAAATAAATGAAATAATAGCCTAAACTCAGCTGGTGCGCTGTGAAATAATGTTTCGATTTGATGATCACTCTTGTTGATAAAACAAAGATTATTAATTTACTAAAATCAACGATCTTTTTCTAATAATAGAATATGGTGACTTACTTATTGAGTGGAACCTCTGCAAATACGACCATCATTCTTATATTATCCGGATTATTCTTTATTACGACCGCACATCATCTTTTAAAATTGATTGCTCTTTTTTGCTCATTTTTTTTTTTTTTTTTTTGTTTACTTGTTCATTAGTACGGAAAAAGTGCCATATTACGGAGACCTCAATTGGTAGGTGATCAATATTCTAAAACCCCAGCTTCCTGGGCTGTAGCCAAAATTTTTTAACAAATTTGTTGGCGGATCCAAATATCATAAGATAGCGTGAAATGGATTAATTTAGAGCTGAGAAAAATTTCTTTCAGGTAGATTTAGACAGATACTTTGATTTCTTCTTTCATTCACGTGCATCATGATTCCAATAATTTTACATCCTAAAACGGGGGTTGGCTAGCCACCTTAAGCACCCCCTCCTAGATCTACCCTTGTCATTATTATATATAGTGCTTTAATGGAAAAAGGATTGTTCCCTCATATATACAGTTGGCATAATGAATGTTATTTTAGTTCTGATATGGYATTGAAAGTAGCAAATGAATATAATGACATAAGCTTTTCATGAATCGTATTCATCCAACATTGAGACTCACAGTTGATTTGCGCACTGAATCATTTCATTTAGARTTTCACAAAGTCCKTTTAAGCTTCGCGCTCGGAGTTCTATTCTTTCTTTTTCTGAGTCCAAAGAGAGRCSGACTTGTAGCAAGTCTACATTTCATTGTACGGGCGCCATATTGTATCCCCCATTTTCCTATAGATTTGYATGGCGGGAGGCATTTATCGGCAAAATGTTAGTATGCTRAAAATMTTAGCTTAAAGGCGTAGTGATCCAATTTCATAGCATAAATTAGGAGGAGCCGACGGGTTCCTGGGAGAAATATATCTGTTCTTACGTCCCAGCCAGCTGTAAAGTCACAACTGGTTGTCAGCGAGAAATTCAGGAAAAAAGAACTTACCAGGCTAGGAATACTTTCTAAGAATTTTTGCCAGGAAAATAAATATTTCCTAACTAAAGAAATCTAATCCGTTCTTGACCATAAAAACGTTATATAAGCCTTTTTTGACCTTAAAAACGTTTGCCAGGAACAAAATTATTTTAAAGAAGGAAGGGTGCCACATTTGCTTGTGAGATTGTCAGCAAAATGTAGCTCAAAATCCCTTTCCCAGGAAAAAATACAGGAACATTTATTTAGAAGAACAGACCCCGTCGGCTCCTCCTGTTAAATTGGCAAAACACTCACAGCAAAATACATTAAGATCTTTTGATGAATACGTGATTAAGATGTCAAAATATAAAATTAAATGATCACAGAAAGAAATTTCCCCGATTCTRAAAATTGCATGTTTTGCAAAAATTGAGTTGATTTGCTGTCAGTGGTTCCCATAATTCACTAGTCTGCGCTATGTTTGTAATTTCAGTGTGATTMACCGTGTGGCAATTGCGTATGTTTTCCATATCGTTGTCAAGCCAACGGATAAACCACTCGGAAGAATGTGTATACCTGCAGCTTTCCGAGATGAAATCTTATCAAGATTTATATCGAGGGATTCTAGATATCAGACAAGGACTTCGATCAGGATCGGATTAGGAACGCGTCCGGGATGTAATTAAAAATAGCGTGTTTCAGTCATGGCGTTTTTGTGTTTCGTTCAGACATTATACAAGGTCACGCAAAGAATGGATGCGTATTCATTGCGTGTGCTGTGCGTATGTCAATTCTCTTTTGGACGGATGAATACCGAACAACTGACATAACGAACATTGACTTACTTTATGGATGCGAATTCATTGTGTGTATATGTCAATTCCCATTTTGGACTTAGAACACGTTACAACTGACGTAATGAAAACGCAATAGTCTGAACAGTTACTAACGTTATGGATGCGTATTCATTGCGTGTGTTGTGTATARGTCAATTCCCTTTGACGGAGAACACGGTACAACTGACGCAACAAAAACGTATTACAACGAACAGTGACTTACGTTATGGATGCGTATTCATTGCGCGTGCTTTGTATATGTCAATTCCCTTTGACGGAGAACACGGTACAACTGACGCAACYAAAACGRATTASWARGAACAGTGACTTACGTTATGGATGCGTATTCATTGCGTGTGCTGCGTATATGTCAATTGCTTTTTGGACGGTGAAAACGGCACAACTGACGTAAGAAAACGCATTGAACATTGACTTACGTTATGGATGCGTATTCATTGCGTTCTGTGTGTATGTCAATTCCCTTTTTGATGGTGAACAAGTGTCGTAACGAAAACGCATTAGTATGAACCTAACCGGTGCGCATTCGCGTCCGCGACAAAAAATGAATTTGAAACAACATACATTTCCACTCTTTTATTAGCAAAGCTATAATCTAGAATGTTAGATTGATTAATATATACAACACGATATGGATAATAATTCGTGCGGTATGGCTATTAAACTGTAGTATATTCATACCAAAATGACTTCGAGTAAAATGTACTGAGGGGATCCAGGTTGAGGGTGTGCACTGACCCCAACATCTGAATCATCATTTGTATTTAACAAATCTCCCCCCTGACAACAATCCTTGCAACCCCATGCCTCCCCCTGACAAAAACCTAGATCCACCTCATGCTTGTAACAAAATCAATAAAGTCGGACTTATTATATAAGTCTAAATTTACCTTAAAACTTTTTCACACCCTTTAAAATAGCAATGAGTTATAAACAGTTTTTATTTGGTTATAACTCTGGGATACTTTGTTATGTGCAGTAAAARAAGTCATCATAGACCCTAATCTATGAAAAAAAACACTCAATCCTGAGAACATTTTTTCTATTAGTAATTAATCATTGCTTATATTTTGAAATATTTCATATCCTACACTTGAAGTTTCTTTGCAAACTCAGATTCTACAATTCTAATTTCTTTCTAATGCAATGCAAATCCCACTTATGTTTCATATCAATGAATTTCTAATATGTGAATCTAAGTTAATTACAAAATGAAACCTCTATAGATTGCATGGATATTGACCAGCCAACAAGAAGTGTTGGTATAATAATATAGGTGACCATCGTTATATATAGTGTATTGTTATATGAAACATATTGCTTCTAGTAAAACTATTTACCATTGATAATGGGTGATATAATTCACATGGATTGAATAGATGCGATAACTACAAATCCCTTTCCCAAAAGCTAAAATTTMYCAGTAAGCAGATTTGATTATTGCCAACAGCAGCTAAAACTGTTTGTGTGATAGGATGATAATTTATAAGAAAATTATAATTATCTATCCAAAATGCACATCTTTTTGATGACAGTTATAGTACAGATTCTTATTTTCTATTAATAATATTATTATTATCTACAACTACATTATCACATATTATAACTACYCACACTGAGGTATTTACAAACTATCATGCAGAAGGTCTTAAGAAGCTCTAATCTTATTGGCTTAAAATTATGTTACTTGGAAAAACTTCTGATTAAATCAAAAGTTATTTTCAAGTGCAGCTCAAGTGAAGCCATACAACCAGTAGGCGACTAGTATAAACTACTTGTATTGTTCAGGATAAAATTAAGGTACAATGCCATCATTCCCAAACAGAAAGGCAATCTCATTCAGTTAAAACCCTTATCTCTCTGCCAGTGGCCCTTTAATTTCCTACGATGTTGTRGWCACAGAATACCATACAGTACCAAGACATGCATAGCATCATCATTCGTTGTGAAGACCATTAGGTCATCAATGATAATTGTTAATAATATATAATTATAGTTGTTGGAGCGACCAGCACTCATTTTTCCATAATGAAAACCATCATTATTGTCTTGCCCCATGACATGGAATTGGAAARCCTGGAAAATTTTCAGTCTGGAATCCGGGATCCAAGCACTCAGAATAACGAATCCGTTTTTCGAAATCGTTTTTTGAATAAATGGAAGAGACCCCTTGCATGTGATGTCAAAAGAGATTCATCTGGAGGACAAAACGAGATTTTTGGTCTCTTTGGAACTAGCATTCATTGTTTTGTCCTTCAGTTTGAGCTGTATTCCCACAAACTGCAAAGGGGTCTATATGGTTTCAATAAAATGGTAGAATCTTGAATCCACTAATGATGTAATCCAGGAATCCAAAATCCAACAAGATAACAGATTCTATGTCATGCGTCAAAATTTCCCATCCCACTCTTGAAAAGTACTTTTAATTATATGGATCGACCGATGTAAGCATTCAAAATCTTCCCAGCCCACCCCTCCCATCTAGCAAATTCTTAACCAAATTCTGTCAAGTTAGATACCACGGTGTTATTATTTACAACAGTCTTTGATTGGAGGTAACTTTTCCTGGTAAAAATACATCAAGGCCAAATGTAGATTCTTAAGAACTGTCAAGATGCACAGATGAACAGAAATGTCACTGACGAGTTCCATTTGAATACCCCCTAAAAAAGGAACATAGTTAATAAAACTACTAAATATTTTTAGTCAAATTTAATGTAAACATTTTACTGTAACGTGATAAAGTTTAAGACAAAGGAAAGACATTTAATATTGGATTATTATTTTATAGTTAAAAACTCTCAGACAATGTCAGTTTTATAGATATTTACAATATGCTATGAAATTTTAGAAAAAAGATCTGTTTAAAAGGCTTATTAGGAAATAAAGATGAGAAAATACAGATTCTTGTTCTCTCAAAGTAAGTTAATTTACCATTTTGTTTAC